GCTTTATCGATAGACAGCAGTTATATATAAAATAATTTGGATCGTAAGTGACCGTCACGAGAAAAATTATCGCTTATATCGTTGTGGCACTCTTTATAATATAGCCTAAAGATCGCGATGCATTGCGACGTTGCTAAGTAGTGCGCATAATGATATAAAATAAAAAATCAATTTTAACCTACGAATTGCGCGCATTTATTTTCACACCTGTTATTCCCTTTTTTCTTTTTCTTTTTTTCTTTTTTCTTATACATATTATGTACATACATATACATTTATACATATACGTTCATACATATACATTCATACGTTTATACGTACATGCATACATACGTATATGATTCGTGATACGGCAAAAAGAAGCGTCAGTTTCGTTGTCAAAAAGTGAGAACAGCTGCAAACTTTGATCAACATAATGCAAAGGAGGAAATTTTCAATTTTATACACGTCACGGGACAGTTCTCTCGACATATATTTTTCCTTCTTTGCGTTATGTTAATCAAAGTTTGCAGCTGTTTTCATTTGACTAATCAGTCAATGGACAAAGATATGCTTCTCAAAATTTGGAATTGAAGGGGCTCTTCCGGCTGCTCTCTTGGCTGAAACGTTTGATTTTGAAATTTGCTAAATCTCTTGCGAAGTTGATTTAAGGATTTTTAAATATATTTTTTACACGCACTTAATAACTGCGTCTTTCTTCAGCTCATCTCAATCGCCTGTTATATATATATGAGCCCCTTAGTTGACAAATGGCATAAGTCCAAAATTAGGAAAAATGCGTTTATCGTACAAGTAGAAAGTATTAAGAATGTTTGTTTTATTTATCAATTTAATTTACTTTTATTTTATTTTTATATCCATAAAATATAAAAATTAATTTTACATCATAAATAAAGTGACTACAAAAAAAGCTGGAATAGTAACTTAAATCCAGCTTTTTTACGGTTACTTTATTTATGATGTAAAATTGATTTTTATTTTTTATGAACATAAAAACAAAATAAAAGTAAATTAAATTAATAGATAAAACAAACATTCTTGATATTTTCTACTTCTATAACAAACGCATTTTTCCTAAAATAAAGAATTCAAAGGTTCAATAAGTATAAAACAATATTAGTAATAGAAGGGCATCGAACCAGTAAATATATATGTATAATAAGAAATTCAAATATAATAATCATACATAAAAATCATACATACGTTTCGACTGCGTTTGAGTCATTTTTAATGTATATATATATATAACCATCATTCACAATACGGATTAATAAAAAACAATAAGCAACATAATTATAAAACGTAACTATAACATTCTAGATATAACCTATTAAACGCTTTCTATAAACTGATTGACACTCAAAGGTGAATACATTAGTTATAATAACATAGCTGACTAGTATAAAATTCTCAGGATTCAAGGCCGCTATTAATATAGAAGTGTAACCATGCAAATTGGAATCAAATCCATGTCGCAACATCTCCTTGTCTTTAGATATCCAATAGTATCTTATCAAAATTGTGAAAGAATTTAAAACTAGACAAATTATATATATAAGAGGTCAATCGTACAGTCCAAAAAACGTCATAATAATGTGAAACAAGAGTAAAACAAATTTAAATACCTTATAAATTGAAAGCAATAAATCCAGTAAAACGTGAATGTACAGTGGTCACTACTTAATATAATTTATATGTCAAACAATGTGTCAAATAAAATACTTTGCATTTGTGTGTGCAACCACTCGAGATCGTGTCAAGTACTATACTGGTAGAATGTGCGAGATAAGAAAGGAACCGTTACCGAATTAGGAACTGGAGAGGGAATGTATCATATTAGTATAAGCTTCGGGTAATGTCTCTGTATCCTTTTGCTTGTTTATGCCATGTGTTTGTTTCTTGATATGTACCATCTCCGAAATTAAACGTTTTCCGTATGAAGGCTCAATATCGAGTATTTTTACACCACTCCATTCAAATTCATGATTATTTTCGATTCTATGCTTCGTAATTACAGATGGAGATTTCGTCCTAATTTTGGACTTATGCCACTTATCAATTAAGGGACTCATATGGTGATATTTATTATTGTTGTTAATATTTTGAGAGCTCAATCTGTATTTAATTTATTATTGAAATTCGTTTTTTTTTATCTGATCAATGAGTTCCTGATAAAACTTTAGACAAGATAATTTAAATTTATCTAACTCTTCTTGTTCAGGAATATCCTTGGTCGTTGTTATATTTGAGCTCTTTTTATGTCATGCATGACGATACGCAGTAAGTTTGGTACGGCGGCATTTGACATAAGGCATACGTATACTCATAAGCTAATATGTATTTGTCATCGGCAATAACAAAAAAAACCGGATCACGGCGCCGTACTGTCGCGAAGGGGTTTCACGTGCGTTCGTGCTTGCTAGCAGCGTGATCCGCGAACGACCAATTAGGACCTGTTTTCGGCTGGGGGTCTGGGGGTGCGATCTCTACCATTGCGTCATGATTGTTACACCGGTACCCGTCGCTTTATCATCTCGCGACCATGGTAATATTTATTTCGGAATCGTTTCTCTACGTAGCCGTGTCTTTCGAGCCGATCGCGACTCAAGAGATATTCTCTTTAAGCGTTGTCGCGAGTTTCCGTACCAGACTTCTTAAATATATGGGCAACAGCCCTTAAATATCTGGGCAATAGCCCTTAACGTGTTCATTAATCGACTCAGGGCATTGTCCCCTAGGCGCTGTCGATATTAGTGATCACAACTTATAAGCGAACGTTATCCGCCGCAACAGCAGTGCGTAGAACACAAAGCGAACGTTATTCGTCGTAACTCATAATGCGTCGTATCAATGCAAACAAATTAACCAGCAATGCGTGGTTAGGACATTGTGAACGATATTTGTTAACATTCAATAAACTATTAAAAACTGACTAAACGAAAAGACAGTGCAAGAGTATTTTTTATTACATTGTGCTGAATCCTACGGAACAGTCGTTTTAATATATACTGTAACCGCGTCACCTAAATACACTTCGTTTAAGGGAAGTAGGATATGTGGATTCCGATGATTTATTTCGTATACAGAGTTTTTTTTCTAAATGTTGTTTTCGTATAAACATTTCGAAAATCGTTTTCAATACTGATTCAACTTGTGAATAAAGCGTGTAAATCTTTGGATTTTCAGATTGCATCTCTCGGTTAAGACCCGTTATATAAGGAACAACGTAATCTAAAAATAGGAGATATAGTTTATTGAATACGTTTTGCATCTTATTGTTTATAGCTATCCGACGTTCGTCGTACGACGACTCTACAACCAATCAGAAAACAGGATTTTACTTTGTATCGATGATACGATTTTTCTGTTTGGTTGCAGAGTCGTCGTATGACGCATATCGGCCGGTAATTGCGCGCATGGATTGGGTAATTGTGCGCAAAGTAAAAGTCGTAGAAAATGAATTATGGAATATTGACAAATAAATCAAAAAATATATTTATTATATTGCAATATAAATACATATTAAATATATTTTAAATATATGTTATATATATTAAGCAAAAATACAATACTAATATAATAATAATGCACATGGACTTTGGCAAAATGAAACGGAAAAATAAAATAATAATGCAAAGAAACGAAAAAATTAGTACTAATCATATAGTATATGGAAGATGGGTAATTGTGCGAATTTCAAAACACTTGCGCACAGTTGTCCGCTGCGACCTGACTCGATATGAAATACGATTACTTTAACACTTCCTAATCAAACTTAATAAATAACAGCTCAAAAGACTCAGTATGCAACTTTAAACAAATTAAAAATACGGACTTACCATCTTATTTTCTGAATGCTAAAATAACAAAGAAAACATGTGATTTCACTTTTTTGTATTTCTCTGGTTAGCAACGTATTTATATCTTTTGTAATTATATCTTAAGAGATCTGTGTAAAAATTTCACCATGGTGATGTCTTCATCTGGGAGGGCTCCGATTGCACACATCGCATATTGCACACATGTATCGCTGATTGGCCAATTTAAAAATAAAATAATCTCATTGGCAAAACAGTAAAAAATTACTAGGCACCAGTTGATATGAGTGGTATGTACAATCAGAACTGTAGGCAAACGGGATCCTCCCCTTCATTTATTGGAGAAATACCAAACCAGGAAGCGTACAATTACCCGCTGCGCATAATTCCCCCACTTTTCCCTATACAAATTTATTATTATAAATAAATCAATAAAGGTTTGAGCTTCGATTGAGCTAATGGTAAAAGATTAGCTTCTTGTTTGAAAAATTTAATTTTACATTTTTAACATCACAGAATTACAAGTATAACTTAATTTTCTTTTATATGCGATGCGTCTCATCGCTGTTCCTCGCGTCAAATAGATACCAGTGAATGCATGATTTGTACCGATGCAGTAGAAACCCGAAATTATTTTTATCATGGAGTTATTCTTCATTGCCTTTCGTGAAATCGATTTGCAAAGTCTAATTGGCCCCGTTGGAGATTCTTGTTATAGGATGGGAATTAATTTCAGGTTTCGTAAGTAGTTCTCAGAAGTAATAATTTTTAAATCAATGACAATTACTGTATATTTTAAAGTCAAGTTGCGAAATTAATTCAGTAATATATTTTAGAATACAATTTTCGTCGCTTTTTGTTATATTTATGTCGTTTTATTATACTTTCAACTGTACTATTAACAAAGATTAACTTAACGGCGATTTTTTTTTTACATCCTAAAGTAAATGATTACTTATGAAGGAATTTACACTGAAGAAGATCCGAATTAAAGATCGAAACGTTTCTGAGTGATATGGATTATTTCAAATAATGAAAGTATATACACAGAAACTTCCTATGTCGACTCATATTGGCATTCAATTTTCATTTCGTCACTTCATCAAAGTTATGACATCGATGTTATAAAATTGGCCAATCATAGTTATTCTTTTGGAGAATGGAACAACTATGATTGGCCAGTTTCATAATATTGATGTTATCACTTTGTAGATCGAACTGTATAAACGTATCAATTATTATCACACGAGCTACACATCACCTCAAACATTTGGTTTTATTTTTGTTTTATTCAACGCAAAATTATCCATGTATAAGTAAACAATTATTTAAAGCTATAATTATCTCAAGAAGCCCACCATAATCTCACGCTATTGTCCCTATGTTTACTCTTAATATACTCGCCATATTGTCTCTGTCCGGAACTGGTTGCTATTATAGGTAAATTTGTATGTAAGCTTACTCCATTTATACAGTCTTTGGATAGTCTTATTTTACATTTTGGATTCAAATTCTCTTTATCATAATTTGTAATTTCTGGTAATTCCCATACAATGATATTTCCATCAACACCACCTATGGAATATGTAACATTAATTAATGAGGTATATTATATAATGCTATTTATCATTTTACATTTTCTAAACTGACCAGAGATTATTTGTTTACTGTCCGGTGTAATAGCAAACTGTATTCTTTGATTAGTGTCCGATTGTCTTCCTTCAAGAGAATAAAGAACATTTCCAGGATTACGGAGGTCCCAACATAGAAATTCACTATTTTTCCGAACAACGGAGAACAACTTCATTCCACAGGAACTAAATTCAATTTGTGTTATACCACTTTCAGTTTTAAAAGTGCATAATGGTCCATCTTTATACAAACCTTCAAGTATATAAAAAAGAAAAATTATATCTTTCATAGCAGACATATGTTTAAGTTCTAAGCAAAATCATAAGGCTCGTAACATATTCTTGTAAGACTTATAAGAACTTTTAAGTGTCTATATACCTTTATACAATATCTTTACAGACAGCTTCTTACTAGCCATAAGATTTACAAGAAATCGTAGATATTTACTAACAATTGTACGTCTTACGATGTGTACGCATAAAATTAGAATACTAATCATAAGTTTTACGAGAACAAGTTACGAATCTTATGATTCTGCTTGGAATTGACCCAATAATGTCAGAAATTCTATATATTTAATTAAATCTTATCACAGATACATACCAATACATTTAGAATATGTACCGAAGGCAACTAAGCCTGGCATAATTGGATTTTCACGGATACATGAAACCAATCCGGTCATATTTGGAAAATCATGTTTAAAGTGAATATTGCTTGTTTGACGTCCGGGACGATCTGTATCGAAAGTTCTTACAGTGTTCTTGAAACCACACCATATTTCCCTTCCTGAATCCACAAATTGAACACTAATAGATGCTTCTACTTCGTCAACTCTAAAAAAAATATTATTTTCCCCCTTTTTTTTATGTACTCTCACAAAGTTGCATTGAAAACTCGAACAATGTTGCTACTACTAACTGATTATAAGCTCGGTATGTTGCACGTAATTCTCCTGTAAATGCATCCCATAAATGAACAGGACTCTCTCTACTGGTACTAAGAAAACAGCATGTTGTAGGTTCCCATGAATTCATATAAGGATACCAGCAAGTGTTATATATGAGGCCACCTTCTTTAATGGTCAAAGCAGGTGTGAAGTCGGTCTGTATAAAATCAGATGGAATTTTGCCAGAGTACAATTCTCTAGGAAGCTCATAAAGGCGTATTTTGAAGTCTTCCGAAGGTACAAGTAAGCACGTTCCATCTGGGGACCATTGACAACCTTTTGTAAAATTCTCATGCATATCCGTGGACTGATATTCCTTAGTCGCTACACATAATATCTTTGGTGCTCTTGACCAGTTATAATTATAGACGCAAGAAGAATCTGTTGAGCTAGCATCTTCTGAATTTACATTTCTTGGCTCTGTGACATTTGCAGCTTCATTGTTTCTTGTTTGTTTCATTATTGCAAGATTTACTATTTGCTGTGATAAGGTATCACACGTTACCTATAATTTGAAGAATCATTATTTTTCAATTCGCTTAAGTAATATGACAAACGATTTATTACATAAATAAATTTTATTAAATTATACGTAAAGTATACTTGCCTGTATCTGTCTCAAACTTACATGTGACTGTGAGGAGGTGAGGAAGTCAGTTTCGTCCGGTATTTTACTAGATTCCAAACAAGTTTCCTTATTCAACAAATTGCAGGAGTCTTCGGTCATTATGAATAAATTTGATTGCACTGGATTGGTCTCATCAGCTTTGTTTTCTGCATTGTTTTCTTCCGTTCCATCATTTTTATTTAAAGTTTCACATGATGTTACTGACAGACGTGATTCAACATCTGTGCCTTCACATTCCATTGTTCATTTAGTTTACTCACAATCAGTTAACTATATGAAAACACAGATTTCTCCTAGAAAACTTCCGTTTATATACGTTTATATAAGGATTGCAGCATGTGTTTACTTTATATATTGAACCGTCAGATTGTCTCTCGCATAACGATAGTTTTCGAATAATCCACGTAAATTCCTCGGATATGGAAATTTATCAAAGTTACTTAAAGGAGCAAGAAGAAGACAAGGAGACGGTTTTCGAATCTCGCTATAAAGTCCTAACTTTAATTAGAAATTGTCGTTAGTTTAAGTTAGGTTAAATCATGCGTGATTTTAGTTACGAAATTATACGTTTGGTGCGTTGCATTCGTTGTGTAGTTAGAGATCCTAGAAATTGTAGTATCCCTAGAATACCGAGCCTGAAAAACTCGAAGACTACCTTTTCATTGGTTCACGTACATAAGTTCTTAAAATGGTAGTACCAATCAAAATGTAGCATACATTCAAAGAACATTCAATTTTGAACTGATCGTGAGCAATCTACACGACTGTGTATTCGGCGAACATTGTTAAAAGTTAAGTGTATTGAAGTTTAATGTACTTTTCATTTACGGATATGAGTGATATTTTAATTAACTCTAATACATTAACGTTTAATACATTTACGTTATGCAAAATGCACCGCGAATGTATATATCGAAATATTCGAAATACACGGCAATAGAATTCTATTCCGAATCGCCGATGTCTGAATCGAGATTGTTTTAAGCAAGGACACAATTTCTTTTTTTCAATCGTCATAATCGTAATACGACCGTGATACGAAAAATCGGTTTGTGGTTGGTATAGTAGCGCGTCGATGCGCTTATCGCGGACGACGACGCAACGGCGACACGACGTCGCGACGCACGTCGGCTAAGATCAGCGGGCCGTGGGTGGGAGTCTCATCGGCGCGGCGGCGGGCCTCGAGTAAGCGAAGAGTCGAAGACTACCCGAAAGAGTCGTGCTCCACTCAGCTCAGTCTGTCCGCGGGCGTCCGTCAAGCAGACTTCTCCGGCTCTCTTTCTCCCTCCCTTCTTCCTTACCCTCCCTCGTCGTCGGTCTCTCGAGGGCCTCGCGCCTCGCGGAAGACACATGTCGTCGGCTGGTGGTGCAGCTGCTACCGGCTAACTCGCTTAACCCTGCGCAGTTAACGTTAATTCAGGACTAAGTTCTCCTAGTTTCATACCATTCGTCGTGCCGCCGTGTTGTGCCGCTCTTTGCTTATTATTATCATTCATTGATTTCCTTCGTGTTTCCGTCTTTCGCGCGATCGGTTCTCATATATGAAAGTGACTCGACACAGTGACAGAGTGCTCGTAGTGCGGCCAGTGACACGCCAGACCAGCGGACAGGATGTGGTCGACGAGGCTTCTCTGGGCGAGCCTCCTCGTCGGGCTCGCGATCGTCGCTTCACCAACCTGGCACGTCGCCGACGGCTTCAACATCGAGACGAAACATTATGCGGTGTATCGCATGGAGGAGAGGTCCATGTTTGGGTTTGCTGTGTCGACGTATCGTGACAGATATGCCCGTGGATGGTGAGCCTCTTTTTTTCTTCATCTTCATTTTAGAGTTGTTTAGTAAACAAGAAAGACGTAATAATTCAGTGTGTTACACTGTGTTATATATTTGTCTCTTGCTAGAAAGCATCCGAAATGAAATGATAATTATTGTAAAGTATTATTCAATTAGCTATTTTCATTTTTCGTCATTAAGGCCCGGTTGTTCCACCTTTTGGTAAATTTTACCTGTTGTGGATAGCAAAATTACCCAATCACATACGTGGATTACTAGATTTACCTCACAGGTAAAATTTACCAAAAGATGGAACAACCGGCCCTAAATGTACGATATCGCAATAAGAAAAATCTGAAAATACAAATAATGACAAAGATTAAAATTTCAATTATAAAAGAGGGTACTGTGTCGATTGTTGATGCGTCACGGGGCGAATCTTTATTCGTTACTTTGGAAAAGGCGTAATTCGATGACACACGGAATATCTTGGAAAAAAAAGAGCTGTCGTACTGCCATATCTATGTTTGTACACTATAAATAATATCACTAAATAATCGTTGAGTAAACATATCTCGGAATGTCCCCCCCATTAAAATTTAAATATTAAATATTAAAACTATGCAATACGTGAAGCGATATGGAGAAACTAACGCTATAACGCAATTGGAAAGTTACTGAAGTTATAATTAGTTTTATTTTTTATTTAATTTTTGAGAGACATAAAATTTTCACATAAGTAAATGCTGTATAGATGGAACTGATGCAATAGGATAGAATTAGACGAATGCTTTCCTTAAATAGGTAAATTTTTAACTTAGCCAGGTGTTTGACTCATCGCTTGATTACACATACGATTGACTCACTCGTGAAATAGGAAATCTTGGACGTTTTAAATTATCATGTGACTCTCATCTTGAATTTTACCTGCATTATTATGTTGATAAAAATTATTTGCGGTAACATCTTATCGTTCCCAAAAATAAACGCTTTTCGCAAATAACGTCATAAAACTAATTGTCCGGACAGCGTGTCATTATATCGACGATTACTTCCAATATTGTCCAAATATTAAAATTTTTGGTTTTACACATACGGCACTGATTATTTGTATTTATACAATATTTGAATAATTAATGAAACTACCAGTGGCGTAATGTACGCGCACATAATTTTTAACACCTGGATAATTTGAAGAAATCGTCGATATGATGCTGCACTGTCGTGATAATTATTAATTTTGTGACTAAACATTTCTTGCGAAATGCGCATGTCTTTTGAGAAAGTTAAAATATTACCACAAATAATTTTATCAACGTGACGATATAAAATTTTTCCAGATAAGTCGCTTAATAATTTAAAACGTCCAATCCCGAGTCGAAATTTTAATACTACTTTGACATTCTTAAGGATAGTTTGCACCTATTTAAATGTTCTATAAACTAGATAAAACCTACTTTGATGATATGGTTGTAATCAAACCTATTTTACTATCCTAACTCCTATTGCAAATCAACCTATTTTAACACTAAAAGCAGTGAAAAAGGAAATTTGCGACATCATTACAGTCAAAGTAGGAGTAAATTGTGTCATAATTGAACCTATCTTGATATTTTAGCTTCTACTATATCATAGAATTAAAGGTTTAATCAAGGGTCAAAATTTTGACTCGGGATATTTCCTATTAATTTCGTGACGTATACATATTTATTTTCGAATAAAAGATATTAAAATTTTTTCGAGTTACTTTAACGAGAGTCCTACGATAGTAGCGTTTCGATGCTCTTAAGGATCCTCTACAGAAGTCATAGACGGTTGTGGAGTCTTAAGTCGTACACTGAAAGAAAAGATTGATTGCTGCAACAAATTAGATGGTTAAATATGGCATAGCATTTTTAATTGGCTGTAGCAACCAATTTTTGGTTGCGTTAGTCAATCAAAATCCTATACTGACATTGCGGATAGGCTAACAACCAACAATTGGCTGCAGCATCCAAAAACTGGCTGTTGCAACGAATTAAAAATGCTAAGCCATATTTTACCATCTAATTTGCTGCAGCAGCCAATGTTTTCTTTCAGTGTAGGAAACCAACCAATCACAATCAAATATAAGGAGAATATTCGATTAGAATTGGTCAGTTTCGATTTAAAGGTCCTCTACATAGAAATCGTAGACGGTCGTAGAGTCTTAAGTCGTAGGAAACTGACCAATTCTAATCGAGTATTCTCCTTATATTTGATTGTGATTGGTTGGCTTCCTACGATTTAAGACTCCACGACCATCTACGACTTCTATGTAGAGAATCCTTTGCATTTCTTGTTACGAAATAAATGTCGTCAGTCGTGCGCATTGCAAGTCAGAACGGGCACGGCGGTCTGACCTCCCGTTCGAGATATCACCCGGCAAGATGAAGATTTCCATCTTGTGTTTCATCTTGAGCTTTAATAACCTGCGATAATCCCTCGTCCATCATCGATAAGTACGCTCCGAGGGCGTTTGCACTGTTTGCACTACTTGCAGGGACACGTTGCAACCTCTGGAGATCGATTTTGTATCTTGAAACGAGGTGAAAATGACAAAAGTGAGCGAATTTACTAGAATACTGATTATTTCATTGGTCAACACCTATTTGCTCACTTCTGTAATTTTCACCTTGTTTGAAGATACAGAATTCGACTCCTGGAGACACGCTACGATTCTCTTCCCGTCGCAATCTGGTGCACGAACGGTGAACCGTGAACGTGCTCGTTGTCGAATTTCGTGACTCACGCTCGCGACGGGCCACGAATAAACGTTTCTGCTCCGGCTCCCGCACGTCGTCGGTCGGCGACGATTATAAATAATATCGATGAAACGGGGAAACGCGTCTAATAGCGCCGCCCGCATCGTTATATTCACGGGAAAATCGACGTCAGTGCCAATGGCGACACAATAGAACGTTGCATTCGAAGCCGGCCTGCGGCTCTTTGCGACCGATTAGCGATCAACCGTGAAATGGGCACGCTTATATTCCCACAGCATAATATCCCCAGTGATAGAAAAAAATAATGTCCAAATCTAAGGCTATTAATCCAGATATGAAAGAATCCATTAAACCCAATTTTTCTTTTATAACAACAATTATTTAGGTTATTTTTCTAAATGAAATGATTAACTCCATATTGTATGTTATTAATTGTTTTACAATTTATCAGTATTTGAAATTATAAATTTATACTCAATATTTAAAAAAAAAATAAAGAGAAAATACAGGTACGGATTTTCAATCACTAAAAAATTGACAATGATCTTTATCTTTCTGCTGCTGAGGTATAAAAATCATTCTATGGCAAGTATTATACAATTATTCGAAATAGATTCCGATTGGAATTTATTGTTCAGTTATAATTCTTTAGATTTCTATAGTAAATATTTTTAGGGAAAACGAAATAATTTCGGTCAAAATCTATTTCAAATAGTTTTCTATTATATGTGTCCGGGTAAGATTATCATATCTAAATTATAAGAAAAGAATGCATATGTACTTATGTATACTTTTTTAAAAAAAAGATGATGATCCAGGAACAGAGGAAGGAATATAATTTTTTTATACATTATATACAATATAGATATTTAATAAAATTTCTGGAATACAATTTATATTATTATTTCCAATTCTTTATTAATCAATAATTTTATAAATGTAAAATTTTAATTAATGACCAGAAGTTTTACGGCTTAAAAAATACATGTATT